AGAAAAGGTAGAGAATTAAGAAGATGCTTTAATTAAGCTGAAATATCTTTCTGTTAAAACTATGGAAATGGACAATAAGGTCTTGAAAACACTCCTTTAATTCATGACTGTATATAGGGAGGAATAGTGTTCAAAGTGTAAATTTTGAGTAAAAAGTAGAGTAATTATGGCACAGTGAAGTGCTGGAGGATTTGAAGCCTTGAGAGGCAATGAGAAAACTGTTTTCTGGTGAAGCTCACGGAAACAGATGAAGAAGACTTTTTGCCTTTGAATAACTTATCCTTAAAAATCCCATCCCTAGACTCATGGCCCATACACACTTGAGAGTGATGTGAAAATGGGAGGAGTGGGCTCTAATAACAGCAGCTCTGGGCAGCTAACATTAGGGCAATGGAAAACTATAACAAAAATAGTTTTTCTTGTGAGAAACTCCATAAATTAACAGGAAGAAACTTCTGTTTCTCTATAAAGACTGGTGAAAAGACTGTAGCAAGAATTGGGACTGTTTTAACCATCAAAGTTCCAAAGGTTTTGTCTCTTTTGTCATGTGAACAAGGGAATAGTGGGTAGACAGGGGATGAAAAGGTTTTTCTGGAAGTTTATTCTGGTGTTCTTATTGTAGTTTGTCAATAAACTTTCTTTTTTTTTCCTTTTAAGTTTTATGCCTGTTTTGCTCTTGTTCTAATCCATATCTCACAGCAAGAAATAAGTAATTTTCTTAGTTATTGGTTTAAAACCACGACAACCTGTTACATTCCTGTCTGTTCTCTCAGTGCCCCAACCAGTGCCTCTTTTGCCTGGTCCCCTCCTGCTATGCTGGGCACACAGAACCGTGCCTCAGCTTCTCTTTCACACCTGTTCAGGGTTATTGCTCAAAGATAAAAGTACATCCAAGAAGAGGGACAAGATCCTTTTATAGAAGGGCTTTGCATGAAGTCCGAGTCTCTGAAATCCACCTCCACAGCATGTTCAAGCAATAGGTGACATAATGAAAATTACTTTGGCACAAGGGAAAACATATGATACAGACTAGGAGGTCAACTGTGCAAACTTTCTCAGGTCTGGAAAAGAAAAAGGAGCATCTGAGTTTGAGAGAAGGATTAGGAGAGCTCTGGCAAGGTCTTAGACAGTGCAGACAGGCTGATCAGGGAGATTATGGAGAGCAGCAAAGAGACTTCCTGCCATTCTTGCAGAAGAAATGCCTAAAATTTCCCAGGGCTGACACATCCAGGTTTGGGCACAGCCCTGGCTGCCCCAGGCCTGGCTCATACACACACAGCAGCTCACAGAGGGGCTAGCTGGCACAAAAGAGAGAATACAAAGCACAAGGTGAGGAAAAAAGAAAAATTAGTTGGTGCTACATGCCCCTACCCTGTAATGACATGAAAATTTTTCAGATGAGAAGATCTGGAAGGTCTTGTGAAAGCCTGAGCAAACTAATTCTCCCTGCTTCCCAAAGCTGATCTTCCTCCAGACCTCACACACAGGCCTTTTGAAGCCTACAGACATCATTAAACCTGTGTTGCCTTTCAGTAAGAGAAAGGAAAAACACTTCAATTTACTGCATATTGTTCACCTTCAGTTCCTGAAGTTCCATCAACATGGCCATGCAAGAAGGATGACCAGGACAGAGATGCTGGCAGACTTGTTTTCCTGCCCATCCAACAACGCCTCTTGGGCCTGTGATGGGGAAGAGCCTGCACAGAGCCCTATGAAAACCTCTATTCATTTTGTACCTGAGCCAGGCTGGGACAACTCCACCACAGGCAGTCTTATTGATCATGTCCTCCCCACAGGCCGAGCTGAGAGGTGCGAGAGGGAAGCACGACTTACTGGGCACACGGTTGATAGCTTTCAGGGGTCTCAGGACACGGACTGTACGGATTGCAGACAAGTTAATGTTTTGGAGATCCAGGGAGTACTCCACCATCCTGCAGAAGGGGAAAGAGAGGGAGAGAGAGAGAAAAAAGAGAGAAAAAGTTTAACAGAATCCAGAATTTCTGCTTGCGCCACAGGTTTATCATTTCTTCATTGAAGAGCTTCTGGAAGCTATGAGGATGAAGCCTGAGCTTCATCCTGGGACTCCTGGCCAGGACACACATGTGGGGTGGCCACTGCACACAAGGCCAGCAGGACTGGAGCTGTGTGGCCAGTTTAGTTGGGAGTAACCTGCAGCACAGTGGGGTGCTTCCTCTGTTCCCCTCATCTCCCACTGCAGGGTATGGTCTCAGGAGGAGGTTCAGCTAAACCTGCTTTACCTCACACTGAAATAAACCCTCTTACTTAAATCACTAACTGCTTTGAATAGGTGGAAAGGCTTCCCCCATGGAGTGAATCACTCCTTTTTGACACCAACCAAAAGGAGAAAAGCCTAATTTTAGGACATACGCTAGACCTTAGCTTTCCTAACCTGAAAACATGTGCTGTAAATAACCTCAAAGTGTAAAGAGGTGTGACTCATGCATTGGCTTTTCTGCAAGAGCAGCAGGTGCAGGTGACAAAAAGTGACCTGGCCCAGCAATCTTCAGCCCAGTGTTCTCTTCTCACCCAGTATGGCAAATGTCCTCTCTCTTTGAAAGCATGGCGGGAAACTATTATAACAGTAATTTATCCTAGCCAGCAATTTCCACCTGAGGACCTCAAAGCATTTTTCATGTTTTCATGAACAGAGGTGCACGAGGCCTCCAGGAAGACATGGGCTGTTGTCACCAGCTGCCCTTGGGTAACTCTGATCTGCACATGGAATAAAATAACATGAAATAGCAGCAGAGTTAGGACAGGAACTGCTTCTACTGAATCTCTTCTCAGACATGAATAATAGAACTACAAAAAGTTCCCTTTTCCTTGGCCTTTTAACAAAACTCAAGAGACGGGAAAGGACTGGGGGGACAGCCTTTGGTTGCTGCACCCTTTCTCAGAACAAAAGCATTGTAATTTATACAGAAAGACCCACAAGTCAACCTAAAGTTTACCCAAATCCCCCTGAGCAGGAATCACTGAGAATTAAATGAGAGAGCTAAAGTGAGACACTGAGAGGGAAATGGGGTACAGCCAGTCTTTAAAAAATAACCAGGGAGAGGCATCAAGTGAAATGCTGCAGTGGACTGATCCTTCTGTTGATCACCCTCCATTCAAGAGGACCTTGAAGAGCTAATGCCTGGTTATCTGTCTACATCTTTCACAAAGGGGACTTGTCAGAGTGATAGATTTTCAAACACAATGAGGTAAACCTGTCGAAGTGTTGTGATTATCCTCTCTCATGCTCTCTTTCTTTCTCTCCCTCATTCCTTTCAGTCTGTTCTCTCATGCACTTTTAGGGTAATTGCATGAAATAATTCTTCCTCTGAAATGCAGTGGCATTCATTTACCTCCCTGGAGCTGTCAGTTCCACATACACCAAGTGCAGAAGAAGAGACAAGGGATTTCATACAAATAATCAAAATATTCCCACCTCCAAAAAAAGCCCCGACCCCAAACTAAGCAGAAATGTTCAACTGGCCTACAGAAAGAATTAGTGATAGACAGAGGCTTAGGATCCAGTCAGATGAAATTGGGAAGCAGGTGTGAAAGGAGGAGGAACACACAGAGATATAAATGCATGGACATGACTACAGGACGTCCCAGTGTGGTGCAAAGGCACACAGTGAAAGGGCCTTGAGTAAGCACTGACCAACCTTGCTCCAAATAAAGCAGGATTGTCTCATCAGCGTGTTGCTGCTCCAGAACTGGACAGACCTGCTGAAACTTTGGAATTCCAGTTACAGGCAAAGCACACTACAGACAGAGTTGTACTGCTCCCAGGACATGAGCTAGCAGCTCTTCACAGAGAGCTGACACACAGAAGCAGTTTCCTGACTGCAAGAGCCCCCACACTGCAGTCTGCTGTGGGGTTATGTATAGGCACAGAAACATAAAGGCCTCAAGCTTGGTGAAGTCCCACTGAACTTCCTTTCCTCTCCTAAAAACACTCATCTCCTAAGAGAACTGGCTTGCCTCTGAAGACAAAAAAAAAGTAAATACAGTTTTTTGGAGCAGTTGCAGAACAACCCAAAACAGAGTCAAATGCCAAGTAAGCTGTTGGCCCAAAATACATCTAATTTAAAAAAGTATTTTTTTCTGAACTGCGAGGAGCCAAATGAGAAGTCCTGAATACTGTGGCCCTCAGAGAAGCTGGACACAGGGGAAAAGCACAGGGCTAGGGGTGACATTAAACCAATGGGTGGAGGTGACATCTTTTCTTAGCCTTAACCATGCAGAATTCAATTTAATTAATTTAATTGTTTTCAAACCATTTGGTTTTGTCCTGTTTTGTGGCTACAGCATTTGAGTAACCATAACCAGCTGCACATCACTGCCTTCTCTTAGCTGGAATGAGTTTGCCATCTATGTAGTACAGTCCCTGTGTCAATAGAAAATTATCAATCATCCAAGTAGTGACTGTGGGTCCTTTCAGCACAAGACAAATGCTGTCTTAACTCAACTCTGTGGTTCAGACAGCAGCAAGCCAGCCTCCTGCAGCCCTCAGTGGCCACAGAGTCACAGATTTACTGCCATTACCTTCCAGTGCAGCCAGACAAAAAAGCTGAACAGACAATCACACTGCCAGGGAAAACAGCAGGTTGTTCCCAAGCATGGGTTAGAAAAGGGCAACTGCTAAATCTTTCAGAGAGCAACTTGTGACAAAAATGAACTCAGCCCTAGGAGGCCCCAGGAATTCAGCTCGATTAACAGACCCCTTCTGCCTACAGCTCTTCCTGAGGCCTCCTGGTCTTGGCTGTAATAACAGAGAAATCCAGGATGCTTAAATCCCTGCAGATGAGATATGACTATTGTAGTCACGGAGATTGTATCCAAACAATTTCAATGCAATTCCAGTGTAATTTTGCATTAGGGCTTCTCATTTTCGCCTTTTCATTTCTAGTGATCACTTCAGCATCAGCTTATGTTCACTCTTCCCTTTGTGCAATGGTAGCATGCCCACACAATGCAGATGACCAAAGTGCAATGAAACTCCATTGATTACCAAAAACCCACCCACCTTCTGGGTAGATCAAACAGATAAACCCAAATGATGCCTCCATTCTCTAATGAAATAGGATCTCTAAGTGACTCTGCTGGAGTCTCCAGGCATCTACAGCATTTCAGGCATTGCTAGCCCAGCTCTTTTTGTTATTACCATTCTCCAGCCAGCCCTGCTCCCCACAGCCTGGACACTGTGGTCACTTAACCTGCTCTAGGTTTGGGCTGTGCCCCATCTCCTAGTGCCATACATGGAGGTGATATCAGGTTGACACAGAGCCAAAAGGACTCATCGCAAAAAGTGATCAGCCAGGAGCTGTCAGCAGGTTCACATTTTCTGAGATCTTCTGGTGGTGAGTCAGGTGTACTGTGCTTGTTTGGACTCCCAGGCAGGTGGGTTTTGGATCCTTATCACCTCAGCAACCTGCAGAACCCTGCGTTTGCTGAGTGTTTGCAAACCAAGATAATTTTACAGCTGGTACAAAATGAATGGCCACCCATGGAACTCCAGGAGATTCCCAGGCTCCTTGTTCTTTCTTTGCACCAGCTCAGTGCCATGAGCAAGGGTAGCCCCCATGACCTGGCTACCCTTCTTCTTGTTCTCCTCTCTCTTGGCTGCTTAAAGCATGTCTTGTTAGTAAACACCATGGATTTTTCAAGGTCTAGGGCCAGTCAAACAAAATCTAGGATGTGAGAAGGGGAGGAAAAGAAGAAAGGACTGTGCTGGTTGTGAGTTCTTTCTATTTCTCATGAGGGAGCAGGGTGAAATGCATCTCTTCTGAGGGAAACAGCAGCTCATTTCTGGCATCACTGAAGTATTTTGTGGTCTCTTGTGTGAGTGGGTGAGTGGAGGGACAGGTTCAGAAGCTTAAACTATGCTAAATAAGACAAACTTCTCATCTGTGATGGAATTTGAGCTCTGAGCTGTCAAGGTAATTGAATATTTACTGTAATTCTTCTTCCCTTGCTAGAGGTTTTCTTTTTCAAAACCTTCTACATGAAACACTTCTGGAAGGAGAGGGGATTGGCACAGGCAGTGTCCTCACACCACACAGCTCAAGACAGATGCACTCTGGGAACACTGGCAGGGTGGGAAATGGACAGAGGCACTGGCTGCATGTATGGGGTTCATCCTGCAGGAGCAGGGGGATGCCTGGCAGGGAACACCTCTCTATTTGAGCTCTGCCTCCCTCCCCACTCTCAAGGCATCCCACCTGCCCCCTGCCTCTTTACATCCCTCTGACACACACTGCCTGCAACATTTCTACCTCTCATTTTAATCTTTCTTCTTCATTCCCACTTTTTCCATTTGCCCCTTGACTTTCCTTCCTATTTTTCCATTTAGGTAAATCTGCTCAGCTGAGCACACAAAGGACCTGGAGTTAAACAGGGATGAGACCAAGCTAGTGCAGGGAACAAGTGAGCAATTTGTTAGCATGCTGACCCTGTCCAGAATGTGCCTGGTCTCACATACCTCTGTCCTGTGTCATGCCACTGGAGCAGACAGCGAGTACACAGGGACAAGGGGGCATGGAAACCTTCAATGCTCGTGAGGCCTCGACTGCACCAGAACAGCTTCATCAGCTACAGCTTGGCACTTATTTTGTCCTCTGCACCTGTGAGCTTGAGAGTGGGCTTGGATCTGCCTTGGCACTCGAGAGGAGCAGCAGGACTCATTGTCCAACAGCAGAAATGCACGGCCAGCACGGCTCTGTGCCAGGCACAGGATAGCAGACTGACCAGCAGCATGGAGGGATAAAGCTAAGGCTATCTAAAATAGACATAGTGGCAATACAAAAGCCATGTATGGAGTCCAGAAAGTTCAGACTTTTATCTGCTGCACGTGTGACCCAAGACAATATGCAATGCCTGACTAGCTGCTACCTTGCACTTAGCTTCAATGAAATCCATT